CCAATATGGCTTCATTTTTATAAAATTCAACACTTGATAAAAGAGAATAAAATGTAATTTCCCTTATCATTTTGGATTCTGTTTAATCCTCTAGCACTGTCATTATGTTATGGAGCATAGTCATCATGTTCTAGCGAACGCGATAACAAGAAAACATTTAAAGTGTTCTTCTTCTTATTATTATTACAGGTTGCGCTAGCATGACGACCACGGCCGCACGTTTCCACAAGGCCATGAAGAAGAACTCCTGGGCGATGCGCAAGTCCAACGCCTTCCTGACACGCGCCGTGACCTATGACCCCGTGTCAGGTGACATGGTCGCTGAGGTGATGGCGATGGGACAGCGCATGAAGTAAGTCTGCGTTATCATCCACTCTTATTTTGTTTTGGTAGATGACACGTGCGTTTTTTCTATTTTCCCAGACACGTAGCGTATGTTGTTGCACTATCTTGGCGTCTTCTTTACTTGATTGTGTGAAATGTTTGATCATGGACCATCATCTAAGATGAACTCTTAGATTTTCATTGAAATAAAATAATAGAAATATACATGAGTTTTTAGCCGTCAGGTCTCTTCTGTGATCATTGCTGTAAGAGTAAGGCTAGGCCTGATAATCAAAAGGAAAACAAGATGAAAAAAATAGTGCATTGCTTTGATTGAATTTGTTGACATTCTTTTTTTCCAGGGTTTCTCTGTCCGGGCCCATGAACCCCGCTACCACCGGCAAACGTCTGGCCTCTTCCGTTCTGAAGAAGCTGCGTCAGTAAGCTGTCACCGCGTGATTACGAGTGTCCTCAGGTGTAGTGCATTAGCGCCATTTTGCCCAGTTCAGGTTCACTTCATGGTTGTGAGTCTTATGACTATCGTGTCATGTGCACACTAACCAGCAGGGTTCCCAGATAACCTAGCACCATACTGTTCAAAATTAAACGCTACATACTAACACATGTATTTGTTTTTTTGTTTGTTTGTTTGTTTGTTTGTATGTAGATTGAAGTGAATACATATACATTTCTTCTTTCCTTTGAATCATACGACAATGTTTTACAACAATACACATTAAGTTAGCTAAAACTTAACCTACTATCCATCTGTATTTAGCTACCCGGCTCCTACCAAAGAGTGATTTGCCAAAAAAAACACAGACCAATATGATGGCAGTGTTGCCATTTGAGTGTTCTTTTTATCATTCATGCTTCTTCCCTGTGTTGATCGGGGTTTGCTGTGCGGCTACGCGGCAGGTAGTAGCTGGTGCCGTGTGTTCCCATGTACCCGGCCCAGCCCTGCTTACTGTACGGCAGTATACCACTGCAATGATCACTGTCCTCCTCCGTACAATCACACCTGGAAATAGTAGTGAAGGTAATTAGAAGGAAACTAGGTTTAATTACCTCAATTAGTTGATACGGGTTGGAGTCCACTATAGTTTTTAGATCCACATTTTGAGATGGGAAATATGATCATATTTCATCAGACTTAATTTTGGTCAATGTCTTATACGTACCGTATCTTAACCCTGTATATCGTCATGGCACCCATATGCACGTTGAACGGGTTGTAGTTCGTCTGGGACTGATAGGTGGCGCTGTCCTTGGTACCGTTCAGCCGGGCAGAAGCGCACTTCTCCTCCACGACATGCTCGTAGGCGTCATGGTCAAACCCATAGTACTGGTCTGTGAGGGGGTTTGGAGAGAAAAACAATAACAGCCGAGATGGAAATGGTACAGTACTTAGTTGTCTAAAGTGTACAGGAAAGAATGTGCTTGCTGCCCTCCATACAAAAGCAAGTGAAAAGCCATAAGACTCAAATAACTGATATGGATCAGTCTGAATCGAAAGAAAGTACAGATATCACTCACTGTCAGGGCTGAACCGTTGAACTTCATTATCCATCATGTCTTGGACACACTTTTCATCTTCAGGCAGGAGAACCTGTGAAGTTAACGATGTGCATAATCTTACAACTTAAGAATGTATTCATTAGCTTTCGAGACATTTAACATAATACTGATAACCGATAATGATGTGACTGTAAACATATTCTTAAGTAAAGAAATAGCTTACGGTTGTTTTAGCGGGGTAGAACCAGTAGGTGGCGAACAGGACGTCGATGGACTGTTTGTCAGATGCGTCAAGGGAAGGGGCCAGCGCACCTGGAAATGTCAGGAAAAGTCATTAGACTGTTGTGTCCTCTCTAGCGATTTCATGAACACTGTATTAGATTATTCGTGAGATTATTGTCGTCCGCCATGTTGCTGAGTTAAAGACGCATGTGAAGTCATTCACATCCATGTTGTCTGCTTGGTTCTGATTGACCAGGCGCCATCTTGGATCCAGCCATCTCACCAACATGGCGGCACCTCTCATGTACATTCATATGTTTTAACGTCAAGAGCAAACACTTTATGTTTTGTTCTCACACGGACCTGTAGCCAGCAGTCTCTGTACGCCTCCCTCATCATGAGGACCCACGTGTCTCCGTCGTCTCCTCCCGCTCTTCTCTCCTTCAGTCGTTCCTCTCTTCTCTCTTTTATCCTTTGTGACGTTCTGAGAACAATAAGGAGAATACCAGGACGTCAACCAATGAATACGCTACATCAGAATAATGTAATTTTCTTATATGTTACTCGGAAAAAAATCACATTAATATGCTTCAATGTGATAACCTAATTCAGTCAGGCTATATTTTGTACCCTATTCTAGAGAATGCAGAGAATGTAAATCAGTCGAACGCTATGAAAATGGAAGCGACAACAACAGGCGTGATGGTATAGTTAGGGGTTACATACCTCAGTCTCACTTTTCTCGGTATCCTCATCGTCAGATTCTCCCAACCACTCCTGGTACTGACCCCTGACCTCCGGGTGCTGTTGGAGGTAACGCAGTGCCATGGCGGTGGTGTTCGCGGTGTGGTCGTGCTCAAGGTGGAACCGGTCTCCTGTAGAGCAGTAGTGTTGTACCATGGAGCTTATGGGGAGTCCTTATAAACTCCTTGGTTGTACCATGTAGAACTTATGTTACATGAGTTACTATCAGCCAAGTGACCCAACGATATGGTGAAGGTGAGCATTGCTCCGTTTACTTTACCATGTAGTTAGCATCTAGCATTCATGTACAAATGTATGCAGGCAGACTTAAGTCGTGCTTCATGTGAAATGTAGCTATCGCGAAAGTCTATCATAGGGTTATTGTTTAGGATTCATGTATTTCGCAGAGAGTCTAGTAAATGTAAAAATAATCAACGTAAAACGTAGAGTTTTGGCAGTTGAAAATTGATTCGTAAACTTAGCAGATACCATACGAGTGGGGGGGGGGGATTCAATTAAAAGCTTACTGGAATCATAAATGGTGACGCCAGGTGGCGCTGTGTTACCGCTCATCATCGCCAGTTGGGAGTAGCCGCTTGACTTGAACCGAACTTTGCAGAAGTCCGCCCTGCTTTGCTCGTGAACATTCGTGCCTAACTCGCAAAAAAGAAACATTCTGACGTAAAATATGTGTCTGTGACTCTGTTTGTATGTGTGTGTGTGTGTGTGTGTAAACTGCGTAAGATTTCAAAGTTTCACAAATTGATACCGCATTTTAAGAATAAAATACGACAAAGTACAGCGTTTCACACCTTTTACGAAGTCAAATTCGCTGTTTTCTCCCTCGTACCCAGTGCAGTCGGCGATCCAATACAAGAAGACATCGTTCCCATGACCCTCTACGCTGATGGCCAGTGGGGAGGCCTGTGCTCCGACAGTGTCCCGGATGTAAGGAACGACAAGAGGCTGTCCATTCCTTCCGTCCAGAATTGTCGTCTGCAGGTAAGAATATTTCATTGTTAAAAAATGTATAGATATAAGAAATACATAAATACATTGCGCTGGTAAGACCCATCAACTATCATCAAGCCGAGACGGGGGACGATTCAAACTTCCAGGTACCTTGGAAACATTGCCAGGATGGAATCTAAAGGTCACTCATTTTCAGAAAGGCTGAGCTCATTTCATACGTTTTTCATCATACCTTAATGTTATGATATTCAGCGCTTTAAAACAGCATGTTTTAGAAAAGATGTTGTATTCGTAGTCACTATAGGAAGAGTTCTCACGTGTGACTGGTAGTAGATGGGAAAGCCCGGGCCGTATTGGTAGTGAACCATGAAGTCTGGGACGTCGTCGTCGTTATAGAAACCAGGAGCTGGCGTACTGGGACAGACGAAAGAATTGTGGATAAGCTTCAAGTTTTTAGCTACAAACCCTTTGTTGAGCTTGAGAAACAGTGTTCGCACTCTCGACAACACGGGTTCTTTTCATGTTTCTTCTGTTATAAAAATTTAAACTATGTCCTTAGTGCAAGACCGGTCATGGCACAAACCTAACAGAAAGTCACAGAAAACTACATGTACGTAACTGAAAGAAGGACCCACCTGTAAGACTCCGACATGGGGAATGAGGCGTCCCATAGCCGCTTCCCCGTCTCCCCGTCCATGGCTACCACTGTGGAGTTAAACATCGCCATGACGATGTCGACTGTCCCGTCAGCGGTGAGGTCCACCAGTACCGGCGGCGTCATGATGCCTTTCTGCGGGTCACTGTACAGCACTTCTGCCTGGGAGGAACATGGGGAATATTTAAAGTTGTACACAGCCTTTTTGTCGTTTTATACCTGTACAAAGTAACACAGCATGCGCACGTAGGCAGAACGTACTGCGCCGAATTAAAAGCCCCCATTTTTCACGGTTTTTGTTAGATCTTCTGTCAACGTTGCATCATGATTTGCCTTTTTCAGACGATATTTTTTCCGACATAACATTTAGAAACTACAGACGGAGTGTTAACTTATATACGCGAAAACGACCTTACATGAGACGTTCTGCCGAGGTGCTATGCACATTACGTGTTTCGCACAGGTGCAGTACGTTCTGTCGACGTGCTTACAAACACTGTATTACTTGGTGTTACCGTACTTTGTCCATATTGCCTTCGTACAAGTCGTCCAGCGGAATCCGCCACAGAGATCCCGGATGTGTCTCCCCTCCGGTTCCAAACAGCACGGTGAAGCGGCCATCTTGGCGGGAGTACACCTTCAGAGAGGGAACAACATCAGAACATATATATTTCCAACCACGTTTAGTTCCTTGCTGTCGCCTCATACATCTATATAGTCTCTAATACATCTTACGACGATACAAGCGAACCATCATGCTCTGATGTCCTCTCATCGCATACGGTTTCAAGTATCTACACCATATCTCCCATTCAAAACAGCTGATTTTGGATGAAAACAAGTCACCTGGGGTGAATAGTAGGTTTCCCTCCGGTCCGGTACTTCTGCCCAGCGCAGCACCCTGCCGTTCTTCCCGCTAAGAATTAACAGCCGGCCGGACAACCGGTACAGGCTGCCTGGGGAAAGGAACAAGAAAGATAACGAACTTGTACAGGACCCAACACCGTATGTATGAGGTACAGTCTGTGTTCGCCCACCAAGATGGCGGACACTGGATTACGTCATAGTCACGTGGGTGCAAAGTTGACTCACCAGGTTCTCGAAGCGGGTCTCCGCCGTGAGCGGCCAGCACATCCGGGACCCCGTCACCGTCCATATCGGGCAGGAACTGTGCCGTGTACAGGTTCATCATGTCCACTTTAGCCTCTTGAGGACCGAACTTCCACAGCACCCGCCCGTCCCTGCCGCTTACCGCCTGGAAGGCCTACACAAAAGAGAGATTCACTGACATAAACATACCTAATGTATGATTTATGTACAGTTATCCCTAGATGCCATGCTAGATTACTCTGTGGACGGATAAATACACCTAATCATGAACATGTTTTCAAGCAACAATCCATGTGAGGGCATGTTGACATTACCCCTGAGCGCCCCCCAGCAAGACAGTCGTTCACTCCATCTCCGCTGATGTCTTCGTTGCAGTTGACTCC